TGCAGCTGTTGCTTCTCACTTATCGAGGTTTTTCGTTGCCTTCTACCCGGTGGGGAGGGGAGGGTGGGGGGGAGAGAGAGAGAGAGGAGGAGGAGGGGGAGGGGGGTCTTGATAACTTGGTACGATGCAGGCACACAGGGTTGTTAGTGTGTGGAGAGTGTAGCACAGAAAGAAAGACAGAAAATGAGAGAGTACCGAAATAACACAAGAAGAAAAATTTACAATCTACACCGTTCGAGAAAGAGAGGAGACAGTGGTAGTAGTCGAAGTAGAGGTAGTAATGGTAGCCTACAACGATAATAAGAGTAAAGACCTGAAAAGTAAGAGAAGAAAAAAAAACGCTTGAAATAATGCACCTGCTTCTTCTTTCTGTGGTTTTGTTTTGAGGAGGTATTCTTCTCTGTGTGCGTTTTCCTTTCCTTTTTGCACAGCCTCGAAGCAGCGACCGACCAACAAGAATCACAGAGAACAGAACGAAAAAACTGCAGCAACAAATTTTTCTTTAAAAAAAGTGGCTGAAATTGAGTAAGCTATCGGTCAGACTGAAAAGACGGAGAATTGGGTCTTCGTATAAGTACAAAGAGATACGAAAAAAAGAGAGATTAGAAAGCGAAATTACAACAAGAAGGATAAGAATCAACTTTTATCCTCTCTGGGTGCTCGCTCGCACGTAAACTACGCGAAACAATAAAACGCGAGAAAAAACCAGAAGAAGTGTGAGACACCACAAGGAAAGAAGAAGAAAAACGTTAGTTAGTTACCCGTTTACGTATTGACTCCAATAGAATGCGGCGAATAACAACAGAGAGAGAGAGAGAAGCAGCTTCGCGAACGAAGTGCAGACGTGGGAAACAAAGACAAATCTGAGAAGGGGGATGAGCGGATGAACAGGCTCACCTGTAAAGAAGAAGAAAAAGGGAAAAAATCAGAACGCCGCAGAAGATGAAAATAAACAATAGCGAAATAAATTTGAAAAAAAACTGAGACGAAATGGCCAATGAAAGTAGAATAAAGAGGAAAAACGGATTTTTAAAGAAGCTCTACAAATAGATTTAACGCACTGAGAGGACGTTTGGTAAACCCAGAAGAAAGAAAAAACGTGTTAGTCAAAAGAGCTGGAGTCTTTGAGAGAAAAAAAAAGGAAGAAAGGAGGAAGAGAGGCAATATATATATAATGGGGCAGAAGATATATGGGAAACGAATAAAACTGAAAAAGAGGGCGTCGCAGGGAAAAAGAGAAACGGGGAAAAGAAATCTTTAAACCGCCGACAAAGATGGCTTAAGTCAGAGAAAACAAAAAGAATTGGGGAACGGAAAAAAAAAAGAGGGGGCGGCTACTCTCGTCTTTTTCTTTTTGCTATGGAATTCTATTGAGTTTATTGTGTCCTTCAGCCTATGAAGAAGGCCAGTAGGAAGGTGCGTATACGCGCGCGGGTGTGTGTGTAGGTGTGAGGGGGTAGTAGTGGGTATACGAGACTTTTCTTACTTTTTTTTTAGCTCTCATTAAAAAAAAAAAGAACGCGTAGGTGAGGGGGGTTTGTTGCTAGATTACTTGGCTTCGTAGGTGCAAAACAGCGTAACTTTGGCTCTTATAAGCGGGGAAAGAAAGAGGGGGGTGGGGGGGGGGGGGTTACGGGAAATGCGGAAAACACGAAAACCAAAACTTTAAAGGTAAAGAAGAAGCTGCCGCTTTGTGCGAGAGAGAGAGAGAGAGAGAGACGGAAGCAGGGCGATTAATTATACTAATAATAACAAGACGTACTAGGAAGATGGATGGAATCTACTCGACTCGTAGACGTGCGCCACAACAAAACTACAGCCAATGAATACAGAACGTTTAGGAAAACTAAAACGAAAAAGGGCACGCCGAGAAAAATTTCAAAAAAGAAGAGAGAGAATAAATCAAAATACACGAACCAAAGTTTGCGCGATACTCCAACGCAAAGTGGTACCAAAAACGAAGAGAGAAAAGAAAAGAAAACAATATGTAAAAAAAAAGAGGAAAATAATTAAACACGGAAATGGACACCAACCAGGATAATTTTCTTCTTTTTCCAAAGCAAAAACCACAGTAAAAGAAAAAGAAAAAGAGGAGCACAATAAATAGACGAAGAAGTATGTGTAAAACAAAAAGGGAGAGATTCGTAGGGTGGTGGAGTGAGGACGGAAAAGCACGCTACTTTCTCTGACCTATAACCAGCAGCGACCTGATGTTGCCAATTTTTTTTTCCGTTCTATTCCTTCTGTTGTTGGTTTTTTGTTCGTGACGCACTTGAAGGTAAATTAAGGAAAAAAAAAAAAAAAATGTAAGGGAAAATAAGCGAGCGCGAAAAGAAAGACAAAAGAGAAAGAAAAGGAAAACAACGCTTCTGAAGCCTCGTAAATTAAACCCGACCGCGTGTGAGAGAGAGAGGAGAAGAAAGGCGATGACTAGCGGCTCCGTCGTCCTTCTTTTCCTTTTCGCAGATGTTGATGCTCTTTACGGTCTCTTTTTTCTTCGGTGAGGTGCGCCGCGCTTGCTGCCTGTTCGGATACAAATTACGTGTAAAGAGGGAAAAGGAAAACAAAAGATGTTGCAGAGTTGATGTTCGGGGTGGAACTGAACTGTGCAGCCGCAAAAGGGATGCGGGAGGGGTAAGATTCCTCTTTTTTCGAATTTTGGAAGAGTCGCCCACAGTCTCGTGATGCCCACGTTCGCTTAGTTCTACAAGAAACACCACCCTTGAAACTTCAAGGGGGAGTAAAAATAAATAAAAGGAAAAGGAAGAAGATGCTAGGGGCGAATAAGCGCGAGAAGCAGATATACAGATATATATATATATGTGTGTGTTTTCTTTTTCAATAAAAAGAAGTCGTACAAGCGATTGAAGAGATGACGACAAAGAAAGGGGAAAGAGCAAACCACCACCGCGAAAAATAGAAACACAAGAGGAATATAAAGTAGGGCGTAGAACCAGGTGTGGCTAAGTGAGCAAGCACTTGCGTTACTACGAAAAAAAGGGTGTACACCGAAGAGACTTTCTTTTTTTTTATGTTTAAAGAAAAAGGAGGCTTTCCCTTGAGTAAGGTGGGTGAGAGAAGCGACCAGCTAAGTACAAACGCACGAACAAGATCACTCGAAGTGAGTACGAGGAAGTAGAAGAGTGTGAACCTTCGGCGTAGAAATGTGGAAAGAATAAATAAGAAGTGGAGGGCCACTAAGCAAAGAAAGCTATTAGGATAAGGAAGAAAAACGCAAACAGAAAAGAGGAGGGTGAAAATCTTAAAAAGGGGTCTAGGCCTTTTTGTGTTTTCCACTCACTGCTGTTTCCTTCCTATCCTTCACCTCCTAAAAAACGTCTCTTGTCTTTGCTGTTTTTTTTTTCTTTCTTTCTTCCGCAATGAATGCGCAGAAAAAATCTGTGGCACGAAGTACACGGACCTCTGCTCCTGCGTGCGGCGATACTTCTGTTCTGGTGACGTTGCTTCCTTTTATGCAGTTCTTTCTTTTTAAGCTTCTATTTTCCTTTTCTTTTTAGATGTGTATAGTGGGCTTTCTGCTGTTTCTGTTTTTGAGGACGGCCTATCGACGAGTGAAAAGCGCTAAATACTTTGGTCGACTTCCCACTGTGTGTGTGTGTGAGATAGAGATAGAGATAGGCTTTCTGTCGCCTGTCTGCTCTCCCACCCGCCACAACTGCGAAGGAAGAAGTGAAGAAGAGCGCGAGAATGTGAGACAGGAACAAACTAAACCAAAGCACACACACACACGCAGACACAGACACGCACTCGGAGAAAGACTGTGTTTAAAGGGAACAAAAAAGGAATATAATTTTTCTTCTCCAATTTATGAAAACTAAAAAAAAAAAATTAAGAAGGAAAAAGAAAGAAAAAAAACAGAGATGAAGGATAAAGAGGAAGAGTGAGAATAGCCGAAAACGAAAGGGAGGAGTTTTGTGTGTGTGTGTGTTCTTAACGTGATAAAAGGAAAAGCAAGAGAAAAAAAGGACAAGGAAAGGAGAAAGATATGAAATGAGAGATGATGATGATGATGATGAAAACAAAAACAAAAACAAAAAAAATGGACGATCGTTTTTGGCGCACAAGTGATGAACTTGAGGCACAAGAAGGTGAGACTGTACAGTGCGAGTGAGCGAAATGATGGCTGGAGTGTGCTCAATCCGTCTAGTTACACTGCACGCAAACGCCGGTCAGGTCGAAAAGCAAACGGCGGAGGAGAGAGAGAGGAGGAGGAGGAGGAGGAAAGAAATGCGCAAAGATGACGGCAACGCAAGCACAGCGGGGCATTTACATTCATCGATTCCAAGGTCAGAAGGAGAAAGAGAAAGAAAAACACAAGAGAAGGTGAGAGAAGGTGAGAGAACGGCATCGCGGGAAACAACAACAACAATAAAACAGTCCAAACAGCACAGCGCCCCTTCTCCTCTCTGAACACCAACTCTTGGATTTCAAACCGCAACCTCCCCCAACCCCATCGATACTTTGGTCCGTTGCAGGTGCTCCTCTGCACAAGAAACACCACCTTCGCGCGGATGCCGCGCAGTGACCTCTCTTTCCTTCTTCCTTCCCCTTTCAGCAGACACAGAAAACGTACACGGTGCGACCGTAAAACGAAGGAAAGGGGGAGTAGGAGGGCCTGTAGCGCACGTCCGTCATCGTAAAAAGCTTTCCAAAAACTCCTTTCATTGTCGTCGTTTTGCCGGCGTCGCCGCTGAGATGGTCAACGCTACAACTTTGTGTTCCAGTTTTCAACAATAATAACATAGTATGTGTGTAGAACAAATATCTTCGGTTACATCGACGAGGTGAATGCGAAACGCCAAAAACAAAAAAAATCAGGGGTAAAACATACATGGGAAACAGGAAAAGACCTTCAGCGCTCGTTGTTTCGAGGACAGAAGCGAAAGCAGCAGTGTTGCGCTGCACATTGTGTGTGTGTGGGTGTGCGTGTGCGTGTGCGTGTGTTCTCCCACACGCAATTTGAGTTCCGCGCACGCGGCCAGTTGCCAGCCGGCTCTCTTCAAATAAAACTATAAACGAAAAGAACTAAAAAAGCAAGCAAAGACTACACATTTGTTTTACAGTTACAATTTCATTTTTCTGTTCCTTTACAGCTCGCTCGCACCGCCGAGCAGCTCGACGTTCGGCACTCCGTCCTCCCGCTCCTTCAGGTGGGCCTCCAAAAAGTGGGCGGTGGGGCCGTGGTCCATGGGGTCTGGCATGGCCTGCACATCTTCCAGAGAAAAGACCCGATCGATGCGGCACTGCACGTACATCTCATCCAGCACGTTCACCATCTCCTGCAGGGTAATGGTGCCCTCATCAATGAGGATGGCGTGCCGGGCGTAGTAGTCGGCGAGCAGACGCGGACACACGCGCTCGAGTGGCGTCACGAACTCCGCGCTGAGAAACGCACGCACAGGGACCGCGGACTTCTCCATCGCACGATCGCGTCGCCGGCGTGGGGTCTCCGGCAGCACAGAGACGCGCTTCTTCGGCAGCCGCGCGAACTCCTTATTGAAGAGCTCCACGATCATCTTCACAAGCGAGGCGGGCAGGGAGAAAGTGTGCGGCGGGTCCGCCGGGTCCACGCTGTCGGCGGCACTCGCAGCGCTGTCCCCGTCCGCCGACGACGCGCTCGCACCGAACAGGGCAGACATGCCGCCCACGCTGAAGGTGCGCGAGCCGTCACGCAGAATCATCGGGATGTAGGTGACATCGTGGTCCTGGTAGAAGTGATAGGCGGGCTTCACCGCGCTGGGCGGGGGGACGAGGGTCGCCTTTGCGGCCTGCAGCAGGCGCTGGATCGGGATGCACAGGTGCGTCTTGCCGGAGATGATTTCACCTTCATCGGCTTTGTCTGGCGTTGTTGCTGTCGCGGAGTGTTCTACCAGCTGCACCGCCGCCTCGATCACCGCATCGGCGTCCTCGTTCGAGATCATGTAGTCCCGCAGGCGCCACCGATGGAAATCCGCCGGCAGCTCCACGTGCTGATTGCCCTTCTCACCGACGTTGTGGCGCTTCACGGCGCGCAGCAGCTGCTTCCAGTTCGCCACAATAAAAATGTACGGCTCGTCCAACGTCTTTTGTGCCATGCGGCCAATCTCGGTCTCCGTCTTGTAGTTCATGTACACGAGATGCATGAAGGTGTTGATGTGGATGGTGTTGTCGGACCGCTTGATGGGCTTCCGCTTGGCGATGCGCTCAATGAACTGCTCCTGCACCACCGGGTAGGGGCAGTTGAGAACAAGCGACTTCAGCAGCACCCAGCCCGTACCGTCGGCGTCCATGTAGTTGAACAAGTTCTTCATGCGGAAGTAGCGGTCCTCGTAGTAGTGCAGGACGCTCTCCAGGTTGTGCTCACCGAGTTTCTCAATGATACCAGCCACATTTGCGCCGACGTGGGTGTTGTACACGTCGAAGAGCACCATGTTTGGGTTGCCGCGCATGACGCTGATGATGTGCGGCGCGCTGTACACCGTGACGAGCTCGTTGTCGCTGATGTCCACATACCGTAGCGAGGGGTGATTTTGCAGGATGAGGCACAGCTCAGCCACAAACTCATCCGACACGCCGCAGGAGCGGAGGTTCAGCTTCCGCATCGAGGTGCTGACGGTGATGATGGGCAGCAGGGCCATGCAACCCTTCGTGCCGAGGAGACTCTTCTCGAGCTCCAGGCTGTGCAGGTGATGCCACGCGTTCTGCTTCACGGGTAGGGCGGCGTAGACGTCCCGCTGCATATGGACACCGAGCTCCTCGCAGACCTGCTTGTAGCTGTCGCGCGGTGACTTCCGCTCGAAACGCGCCAGCGTCTCATCTACCAGCGCCATTGTCGTCATCTTCGCTGCAAACTCGGTGGTGGTTGGGGTTTGTGATAGTAACTATAAATAGAAAAAACAAAGAAGAGCAACGTAAGGCGATAGAATGGTGCTCTGAGAGGGGAGGAAGAGAACACATACAAGTAAGGATACGGCAGAGGGAGGGGAAAAGAAGCCTCTACCACAGTCATATTTCCTCCTTCTCTTGTGGCCAGCAGCACGTTGCACCTATACATGACGAAGAAAAAGATGTGCCACACGGGTGCCATTTACCAGCGCGTGACACACTCTGTGTCAGTGTCGGTGAAGCTGAAATGGGCGACACTGCTGACGAGAGCAAGTCATCCACCGTGCCTAGCACCTCTTCTTCATATATATATATATATAAGAGTGTAGTAGCTTTACCATTCTCTTTCGTGAGTTTCAGCGTCCAGTGCGTGTGTGTATGTATGTGTACCCCATTGGAAACCTGCGACG